GCACCAGCAACCTGTCTCCACCACGTGCACAGCCAGCTCACAGCACCCGCACCAGCACCAGCAACCTTTTTAGAAAGCGCGCACAGGCACCTTATTTTTATTTGAAGTAAGAACCCCATGGCTTCGCTATCCAGCTCACAGCACCAGCACCGGCACCCAGCACCAGCAACCTGTCTCGAAAGCACGCACGGGCAACTCATTACTATTTGAAGTAAGAACCCCATAGCTTCGCTATCTGGGGAAAAATGATCCGAAAACAGCCCCGGCGCCCAGCACCAGCACCAGCACCGGCACCCGGCACCAGCACCAGCAACCTGTCTCCACCTCCACCACGTGCACAGCCAGCTCACAGCGCCAGCACCGGCACCAGCACCAGCACCAGCAACCTGTCTCCACCTCCACCACGTGCACAGCCAGCTCACAGCACCAGCACCGGCACCCGGCGCCCAGCACCAGCACCGGCACCCGGCACCAGCACCAGCATTCTGTCTCCACAGCAGCACCCAGCACCAGCACCGGCACCAGCAACCCGTCTCCACCGCGCGCGCAGCCAGCTCACAGCACCAGTACCGGCAGCAGCACCAGCACCAGCACCCTCACCCAGCACCAGCAACCTGTCTCGAAAGCGCGCACGGGCAACTCATTGTTGTTTGAAGTAAGAACCCCATAGCTTTGCTATCTGGGGAACAAACTGCCCAAAAGCACGTCTGTGCGACAAAAATTCGTGAAACAGGCAGTTTTTCGTTACTAACGACTTCGTCGGTTGCAATGCTACCCGCCTCCTTTGGAGAAATCGTGGTCCGAACATTGTCCAAAACAAACTTGACACGACGCAACGCCTCTTGGCGAGCACGTTTGTCATCTATTCTGCAAACCATTGCCAAGACATCACTGACTGACAGAGATGTTGTTCTTGCCTCAACTGTAGAACAATGGACCAACTGAGTGTCTAGGCATGACCAGCCCTTCCTATACATCTGTTGTGGGGCTGGCTCTTTACCATTCAACAACTCCTTGGATATAAAAGACGTTTGCAGTGCAAAAACCGATTCCGAGGATTGATTCTCTGAAACTGTCTCAACACAATGTCTGAAAACACAAGAAGTACCAAGATGCTCTTTTGCCATGATCAAATCCTCAAAACCAGGAAACAATTGTCTAAGAACTGCATTTCGCAGTGCTCTCGGAATGTGCGGATTCAAGCTCTAGCAAGTGGATATGTCACAATAGTGTGCGCAACCATCTCTGAGAAGCCATCCAACTCCATAGGAGCTCAAAATTGTAGCCATCTGAGCAATACGCTCTGTTGAAACTGCGATTGGAAAGCTTGCTTGCAAATTCATAACCCAACTGGGCTGCAACTGCCTCCAACACTGCAGTGCCTCTGGCATATTCAGCCTCATCACCCAGCTCAGCGCTGCGCTCTAAAAGCTTCAATCAGCCGCTGGCACGACAATTGCTGCAGGCATTTCCAGCTGACCCAGCAGGGATGTGAACCCATTTTGATCAAGAATCAGTCGGCTCCAGCTTCGTCTTGTCAATCGGAGGCTTTCGCTCGGCCGTTTCTCGATCTGCTTCCAACAGCTGTTCTTGCTGCATGCCTGTCTCTACATTTGTAGCCTGGCTTGTGCCCTTGATGCCATCCTCTTCGCCACCCTTGGCACCAAGTGCATCTTGGATGTCGAGGTAAGCAGCAGGAGCAAAAACTGCATTCGCAATGGGTGGCAATGTGGCCACACCACCGCCAAACTTTGTCTTCGGAACATGCTCAAATCCCACATTCTCCAACTGCACAGGATCAGCACGATCCATGAGCAAACGCTCAATGCGGTCAAACTCTTCATTGAGTGGATTGACGAACTGATTAGGATGCTGATCTGTCTGAAGCAAATCCAAACCACCATCAGGAGTCCAAGGCGAAAGATAGCCCTCCTTCATCACCCCAAGATTGTTCCTAACAATCTGATTGTTTGGAACAATCGCAGGTGCAGCTGCCGTTGGTGGGATCAGGTATTGCTTCTTTGAGCCATCACCTTCATTCCTGTACACCCAACGTCGCAACAACCAGGGCCGAGTGAAACAGAGATAGTCCAGAAGATAAACTGCCTGGAGGTATGCAGCCAACTGCATTCCCAAAACAATCGAATTCTCATCCTCCTCAAAACCTGGTGCATAGCACGCAGCCAACATCGTCCCTGCTGCATAACCTGTCACAAGGTCTCGCAAGCTGACTGATGTGAGCCGTCGTCGCACCAAAGACATTGTGGGTGGGAACACCTTCAGCAAACTGTACACACTTAGTGTGTCAAGCGGAAAGAAGCCAACACCACCTGCATACTGGTCATATCGATTCATATGGTTGACTCATACAGTTGACTCTACGTAGCTTTGAGCTCCCGCGAACGAGCGCAGGCAACGACCTCGGAGGCGACTAGAGAAGACAAGATCCCAAATGCACCGAAAGACACCAGGTGTACAAACCACGAAAATTATCTGCAGGCGGAAGCATGTTTTTCTTGCAACACGCACTTATATATCCCATGGTCATCTAGTGACGGCCATCACGCTGTTGAAAAAACCATGTCTGAAATCGGCAGAGTGCCAGTGCCCAGCCGACGCCAGGGCGTACATCCGACCCCGTGGCAAGCTGCACATGGAGGTTCACAAAGCGCTGTGCCTGCCACGAAATCTGCACACGGAGGTTCACAAAGTACTGCGCCTGCCACGAAATCTGCGCATGAAGGTTCACAAAGTGCTGCGCCTGCCACGAAATCTGCACATCCAGCGCCGGTGCCCAGCCGACGCCAGGGCGTACATCCGACCCCTTGGCACGCAGCAAAGTGCTGTGCCTGCCACGAGATCTGCACACGGAGGTTCAC